ACTTTACAAACAAAAGTGGCCCATCCCAGAATGTTTGGAATGTGGCCCAGTCCAAAGTTCACAGTGAGCTACCTGCAAGTAACCCAGCCGCATTCTTTCAACAAAATGGCTGTCTTCTAAAACTATATTCTACAATTTACACCTTCAATAAATCCTAAGATCATGACCCAGAAGCCTGTGACCAATACTAAGCCTCTTAGATGTGACCCGAGTTTGAATTGTAAGTTGTGTGAAAGCCAAAACTGCAGTTTGCGGAAGAATGGGAGCAATGAGCTTCTAAAGTTAGCTTGTGTTCATCCTGGTCTCAGAGTTTTTATGTTTTGAGCTCACAGGAGCTTAATCTGGTTAGTGCTGAGTAGAAAGGGGAAGGAAATGGGGTCAATAGCTCCCAAATGCATCCTAGTGGTCTCGGGGTCAACGGCCCTTCCTGATCCCTAACGCTCAGTGGGCCTCCGTGGCCAGCTCCCAACAACTTCTATCACTCTTCCCTTCCACTCTAACTCTACAAGCTTGAGAGCTGCCAGTTCAATGGACAGGACCTCATCTTCCTATAGAAGCTGCTACTCAAATCAGGATTCCCCTTCAGCATATAAAATCAATTTGCATTTATGTTGGTCATGTGATCCCATACCTGTACACAGAGACCAACTATGTCCCCAAAGGCAGTAAAGGATCACAGGTGCCCGCTGATGTAACTCTGCATGGTCTGAACCTGCTAATCTGGAAGGCTGATGACCTGTTGCATCATTCTGTGTGCAGCGGGGATCCTGCATTGCATAGCTCTCAGAAATAGCATTCTCACCAAAGTCACCTTCAACTACTGTATGTGGCGGCCATGGCACAAGGTAATATAAATGGCCAAGTTCAATGGGAAGAACACTGATCTGGGAGGCAAGTGACCTCAGTTTTATCCCCAGAACTGGTTCTTCTCACTGTCTTAATTTGGGCCTTGATTACCCTAACCATAACAGGGAGATAACAATATCTTGTAGGGGATCTGACAAGTGACCCAATGAGATTGCCTGCTCTGAGAGCACTACCTTTTGGAAAACATCACTAGATAAACCCATTGGGACAGGAAAGATCAGAAGAATGTTCTCTACTCACAGTTCCAAGTCAGACAGTGGCCATGGTAACTGACACACTTATATTCCTTTTCTGGAAGGCTTCTCTGTGAGAGCCTCAAGTAGAAGCTTGAACTTGAGGAGCCATCAGAGAACTCCTGGTGGCTACCACATACTGGCTCCCATTAAGGGCCATCACTGACTCTCATTCCAGGTGCAACAAGCCTCTCTCCTACAGCCTAGAAGACATTAGCCCTAAACACCAATCGGGGATGTATCTCTCCAAATATCAGCATGTACAGGAGGCATGCACCAGTCATGACAGTCATGGAATGGCCACAGAATAGCTCACTGGCATCAGTAGACTCCCTGGTGCCAGGTGAATCTTGAAGGTGAATCAGGATGGGACAGTAGAGGAGAGAGGTATTCTCTGCTAGTAAAGAACTGAACAGAATTTGCTCACATGCCCTATGCCAAGATGTTTTTCTTCTCTTTCACGGAATCCTGAACCCAGTTCACCTCCAGCTGGAAACAGCATCAACAGCACCTGGAATATAAAACTGTGGGCACAAAGCATTGGAAGTGTTAAAGCCTCCTGATGGCACAGAGGCCTCAACCAGGCACCAGGAATGTCACCAGTTGGTTTATCTTAGAAGTGAATTGTTAGATTAAAATGCTCGTACAGAAGGTTTTTGAGAGTGTGGGAAGCAGGACTGAGCAGAAGGAGACTTTACATTGTGGTGAAGCAGAGCCCAGGTCTCAGCAATCCCACAGGGAGCTTTAAAAATGGGAAAATCCAAATGAGGATGAGGGGCCAGGCTTTTATACTCCCATCTCCATGGGTCATGGATGTAGCCTGCTTCTGAAACAGGACATGGCTTTGGGCAAGGTAGCTGTCTCTGCCAAAAGCAGGTTTCACAGAAGAACTCAGCTGAGAGCTGTGGGATGCCAACATTCCCAACAACTGGGGAAGAAGCACTTTAGCCCTGGCAGAAAAAACCTTGGCAGTACACCATGGATTCCCATGGCACACCTCTGTGCCATTCAGATCCACTTGCTTATATAATAAGTTCTTGAAAACTCATCCAGGAATCTCTTGAGCCTCTTCCTCGGGAAATTTGAAAAAAAAGGAGTTAGTGGAGTAAACTATAGCCATGCTTTCAACTGCTGCAATTAGTTTTGAGGCTATAAGTGATGCTCATCAAACCCTCCTTCTAGATTTCCCTCACCCTCAGCCAATACCTCTGCTGGTTGAGTTGGCTTGCCTTCTGGGTTAACTCAGACCCTCATCCCTGAAGGGTTCAGCCCCCGGTCTTCATGCTCTTCTAAAGACTGTAGTTGCTGCTCTTGTCTATTTACCATCAAAATTGGATGAGGGAGCATCAAAAGACATTTAAATAGATCACCTAGGTATCAAACACATTCTTGTCTACACCCATTGAGTACAAGCAGCTCTACTTCCTCCTGCTAATCAGGGTCCATTGCCCCTGCCAGGATGGTGACTTCCTCCGCTCCTTGCCTGTAGGTGTCTTGGTCTGCAAATATAAAGAACTAGTGTGAGCCACAGTTGAGGTGTAATAAGATTCTCTCTAGAAACCTAGGGGGAAGCATTCTTTCTCTAGGATTGATGACTTCTAAACCCCATATCCCCTATTTGCGCAAATTTCCCCAAGTGGGTCACTGAGAGTGATGGTAAATAGGGCAATGCCTACTTACATCTTTGGTACCTGGGTCCATGCGTTTTACTTTTGGGGAAACAGCATTATATATTAGTTGATTTGGGATGTATATTGAATTCTAGAGGATGTTGCTTCATTCTTGCAGGATATTCTTTCCAAAC